ATGCTGCTTGCTTGCTTTCATTGGAATTGCTCAGTTAATGTGCTTCCATGAATTATGTAATTTACTCCACTCCAGGGCCTTACAACATATGGTGCGTGCATTGTCACCACCATAAGGACAATAGATCAAACCTCTCCAGGAAGCCAGCTCTCAAAAGCATATGAAAAAAAATCAATTTTACATGAAAATCAAACAATGGTTCCTTAACCTGTGGCTAAGCAAAATCTCCATCTCTGAGCTCCCTCTCTTCCCCCTGCCCCAGCCTCAGGTCTGTTCTTTCATCCACAGTCCTACACATAAGACCCCACAAGTGTGTCTATTGCTCCCTTTCTGAAGGATTTCATCATGCTATGCAGACTCTATACTTCTCAAGAGCAGAGTTGTGTTGTGCTTAACAGGATTTGAGCCTTCATTTTAATCTTCCTAAAAATCTCATCTTTCTAAAAGCACCTGTGGTCTCTGGAATATTCAAGTCACTCCACTTTACTTCAATGTATCCTTTTGTGTTTCATACAGCAACCTCCAGTACTAGACATAAAAGTGATTTTTTATAGTAACTAAGACTGCCTTGCATTGAGCTGGGCTTCCCAGCCTTTTTCTCTCTAGTGGCACTTACTTCTGTTAAAGAGAGGCCAGATTTCACACCGGAATTGATCCGGAAGGGAAGATGTTTAAAAGAAACAGTTTTATCTGGCAGGTGCTTTAGTTAATATTGAAGCTTTCATTACGAACATTTAGTCACTGTGGTATCTGTATACACTTTAGACAGGGTAGTCCACAAGCAAAATGTTATCTGTGTAGGGTTCCACCTTGCCATTGTTCTGTGAGCATCTTTCAGTCCCATATGAAGCTTCAGTGGTCATTGAAAGCACTCAATACAGTCTGGCACACATCCTCACAAGTACTTAGGAACCTGAATTAATGGGAGGTAGGCATCTAGGGCACACAGATAACTTCAGCCCAACATTACAGTGCCCAATTATTAGGAGCCTTGCTGTCTAGAGGTATCCTCAGACCTGATTTCGTTGCCTAACAATGGGACCTAGTAAAGCCAGGAAACTGAGCAGAGAGCTGTCTCAGGTAGCCAGCAGAATATACTGAGGAGATGAATGGGGCTTAAAGCCCAGGTTACATGCCTACCCAGTGGTAGAAATGTGTGTATTCTGCAGAACTAACTACTGTGGGAACGCAAGTGCCTCCAGGGTTAGGCAGAAGCTGACAGGGACTGTACAGCATCTAAAATGTTGGCTTCGGCAGAAGCAGGAAATTGTTTAATTATCTTTGTGGATTTGAGCTGCTGTCAGGCCCTAAAGTTAATGTCATTTAAAACTTTGTCATTTGTTATTATAATTTATTAACTCTTTCTTTAGAAATCAGAGGTTGCGAGCTTCCTCTTGTCAAAAGAGGTCTGCTTCTTATGAGTAAATGAAACCTTTCAGAAAGTGCCTGGTCCAAAACCCTGGAATTCATTTGAGAAATCTCTTTTTGATTTTAGCTGGCTTTGGGTTAAGACAGAGGGAAGAGTAGCCCTGGAGCAGGGAGCCAATGGCACAAAATTCAGCTTTTGACTAAATGATTTGTCCCAAAACAATCGTTTTACATTTCTAAACGTTTTAGTGCTTAGGGAGGTCTGAATTTCTATTTGACACACACATGGAACTACCATCATTCATATTAATGGGAATATCACTGGCATAGCAATAGAAAAATACTGCTCACTCAGCATTCACTGAGGAAGTTATATCCAGGTTGTATGCCAAGCACAGTAATCAGCAAGAACGGGATCTGGATTCCCCATCTCAACCTTTCATAAACAATTTATGGAAACCTCGTGTTTTGAATTATTCTGAAAATGGTCTCCCTTATTCAAACCTAACCACATTTAAACCCTAGAGTTATCAGAATTAATTCTGCATCTTATTTGCATCTTCCAAGAAAAGGCTTTCAGAGATGTTTATTTCTTAGAAAAAGTGCATATTGTATAGAACTGGTCTGATAGGAAGGAAGATGATGTGGACACACAAAGACACCTTCATGAATAATGTGGAGTTCTGTGCTAAATGGAACATGTTACCAGTGCCTCATGAATGACCTTCTCTGAATAATACATCTCAGCATTTTTATAGGATTTATGTTAATGTCCCCCCGAGTACTGTAGACATCAGTCCAGTGACTTCTTAATGAGAAACCCAACAGAGCCTGGAACAAGTTAGATAAAAATATTTAAATTTGGGTTTTAGTAATAAACAAATCAGTAGATTTTTGTGTTTCTACATCTTGGCTCTTAGATTGGCAGCGTACAGTCTACCCTTTAATCTACAGACAATATACCACTGGTAGCTAGCCTGTCTCTATGTATGTGTGCACACATATGAGAGAAACAAATTTCAGGTTATCATGTCAATTACTTTATCCTGTAAATCTCAGCAGCAGCGTCCTGGGCATTGTTAAACTAAGGAAAGGACAGATTGGACCCAGAATGGAAGGAAAATTCATAATTTAGATTATATATCTACAATTAGTTCCAGGCTAGCTGTAACCCTAGTGATTTAAGGTCTGATCCTGCTCACACTGAAGACAAAGAAGCCTTTAATTTGGCATAAGCAGACTGCAGATTGAATATAGAACTGACACTGAACATTAATTGCATGTGATTATAAATTATAGGTTATCTGCTGAACTCAAAATTGAATATTATTTGAGACCTGTAGAGTTACACATTCAGGAAACAATGGACTGATCATTAGCTCCTTACAGCACCAATGTACTGCTTCAGTGGTATGACAGAACCCTCTTACCACATATACAGCACCCAAGCCCATGGTTTTATAAATATGACTACAGCACTGCTGCATTCCAGCAATCCCTACTGCCTGAAAATATACCGGAGTGTATTTACGTGAGTGGATCTAGGATTGTTTTAAAAGGGCAGCGGAGATGGTGTGTTGCATCAATACATGTAACACAACACATTTTTCTCCAGGTAAAAAAGAAACTAGAAACTTTACTAATAGACTAAGGGCCCAGTAGTACAGCGTTTCCCAAACGGTGTGCCGTGGCATTTTGGGTCGGCGCCACACCCCCCCGCTTGGCTGGAGCCACGCCCCCTGCTGCGGCTGCTGTGGGCAGCCAGACAGATGGGGAGCATGTGGCATTTTGGGTCAGAGCCACCCCCCTGCACTTGGCTGGAGCCACCCCCCCTGCTGCTGCTGCTGTGGGCAGCCAGACAGATGGGGAGCATGGCTCCAGCCAGTGATTCAGATACTGCTCTGTGGCGTTCAGCCGCTCGCCACCCGATCCCCCTCCTCGCTCCCCCCTGCTCTGCGGTGTTCGGCTGCTTGCTAACCCCACTCTCCTGCTCGGCCAGTGTGCCATGGGGTGGGGTAAGCCATGTAAGTGTGCCACAGAGTGTAAAAGTTTTGGAAACACTGCAGTAGTACATTAATCAATTTGGGATTGAAGCAAAAATAAGTATAACTTTATTGGACTGTGTATTAATTTGCTATATCACACATATCTGTGTGCACTTGAATCTAAGATGACCCTGAATTTAAGGTCCTCCCCCCCCAATAATTGGATTGTACACATGGAAAATGTATAAATTAGTTATAGAATTTAATTATTGGAGTGTCATCTTTAATTCATCCCTCCTACCACTGCAGGGGGTGGGCAGTGGGGAGGCAGGTGGTGTGGGGAGGTCAAGTAGCTTCCCCCTGATTGTGCCTGCCCCTTTGCAGCCTCTGCTCTCCGCCCCTACCCCGGGCCTCTGCTACCTGCTTCCTCCCACCAGCCTCTGTTCTCCTCTCCCTCCAGCCTCTGCTCTGTGTTGGCAGGTTTAGTCCCTGTTCTGACCTGGGTCACTGAGCACATCCCCAGCTCGGTCCCCATAGAAGCTATGCAGGCTGCAGCCTGTTACTATGGGACTGGGTTGGGGTCATGCAAAGCATCCCAGGCTGCAGCATGCACAAAGCTTGCTGACATGGAAAAAGGGCAAGGGCAGGGAGAGGGACAGGTACGGGTGCAGAGGTTGCATGGGAGGGAGATGGCAGGATACAGATCTAGTGGGGGTGGGGGCAAAAGGCAGGCAGGCAGCAGTTGTGGCTATAGCTGGGTAAGGGCTATAGCCTGAGCCACAGCAACTGCCTATCTCTGAACTGCCCTCATACGCAATTCTAAGATGAGGGGCTCCCCCCTCCATGTTAAATGGAAGAAAAAAACCTTGTCTTAGAATCAAGTAAGCATGGTATATGGTATATAAAAACCACAATCAACTTGGCAAAAAATACTCAGAAATGTTGTTTCTTTAGCCCTACAGTCATTAGAAAAAAATGTACATCTCTTTCAGATTTATAAGATTAAGCCTTCTTGAGCATCTTGACAGTGCATCCATTTCTCTCTCACCTGAATTAATGTTTGTAGCTAGAGTTAAAAACAGTCTGCAGGCCTGTGTAGTGGGGGCTACATTACCAGGAGTAGCTAAAAGACGGGAGAGAATAGCTTAAACAGTGGAACATTAAAACAATTAAGAAAGGGAGACAGGGTCATTAACACCTATGGAATGAAGAATTTAGAAGGAATTAGATAGATTATAATGAGTCATGAAGTCAAGCAATTCCCTCACTGCTGCCTGATTAGAAAGGCTGCTGCCACTGCCAGGCAGTTGGATTTAAACTTTGGGCAGATCAGGAAACAAAGAGGGGATGCAACATCACCAAGGCACCCCCCTGGGTACACCCCTGCTGATTTACTAGAGCTTTTGGGAAGCTCTGAATTTCAGAGACTCTATACCAGATTCTGGCATAAATAAAGCTACTTTCCTTCTCCAGACCGCCAACCAGGAAATTCAGGTCAGCCTGAGTGCTACCACTGATCTTTTCCACCAGAAAACAATTTGAAGGTGTATTTTTAATTGCTAGCCTAACTTGCAATGTCATACTTTAAAGATCTATCACCATCATTACTTTTAACTCAACCTGGCTTTTTGTTTTTTAAAGGGAGGTCCAATCCAGAATAGGAAATCCAAGCATTGCCTGGAGCTGCAGGAAAACAGTGAAAATGAATTTGGATTTCAACTGGTTCTTCAAAAATGCACTGGCCAGTGCTGGTCTATAACAAATGTACTGAAAAACTTGTCATGGTAAGAGATTATAGGAATATCTTCTCCTTGATCCTTTTGCTACTGTGTAGCAAATGTTGCAATGTTGCCTGCTGTACTGTATTTTTTTCTTTCTCCGTTGATTCTTTTTTTGCGAGTGCGTGGAAGTGGGGTTTGTTGGCTGCACGTAGAGATTTTTATTTCATAATGATGTTTTCATGCCATTACTAGAGATGCTGAATGACAGGTGACGGTAGCTATCCTAAAATATTTTGCAAATGTAAATAGGAAATAAATGGATAATATTTATAACTTGGACAATAAACTTTTATTGATTAAAAAAAAAGCCATGCTACTACCTGATTTTCTTTCTGTGATCAGTTGGTAGACAACAGAGTGTTATAGTTTTTCATTGGCTAAAGCCTGATCCTGGACAGTTGCTTAAATCTCTTCAGCTCCCCTGGTGAAATTTGCTAAAATAGCAGTGTCTGGAGTCCATGCATAATGATATTAAATGGGATGAAGAGTACTCAATACCACGTTGCATCAGATCCTGCCCTGGCCATGGCTTAATGGTCTTAGGCACATCTAAATGGGAGGAAAATGTTGGCTACACTCATGCTGTAGCACTTGGCAAAGCTTTGAGAGATTTGTAGCAGCCCTACAGGCTACACTCATACTGTAGCACTTGGCAAAGCTTTGAAAGATTTGTAGCAGCCTTACACGAAGGCTATATTGTGGGATCCTTCTTCCTCCCTATCTGTACTAACTGCTGCTAAGACTTAGTGTTGTGAAGGGTTTTTTGCCACCATAGAATGTATCTGCTAAAAGAAAGGATTTTTTGTTTCTACCCAAAGCTACCCCTCAAACAGCACTAGCTCTGCTGACTGGAGCCACCTTCTGCTGCATCCACATAAGAGGTTTTACAAACACAGCTGTTTTAGCTATGGGGTCTGATTGTGTCAGGCTTCCCCTGCCCCCCATCTGATATGGCTATGCCAACAGAACTTTGTTGTGTGAACAAGGCCTAGTGTCGGTCATGCTAGTTGCCTACTCCTAAAACTGACTCTGGAGTTGGTAACATTGAGTTTCCTGCATTCTCACTAGATCAGCAATAGAAAACAATCTTTGATCAGTGTGTACCTTTTAATTTCAACAGCACCATTTAGTACTTTTCTACTGTTAAAGAGGTAAGCAAAGGAGACATGCTGTTCTTTATTCAAAGGGCACAGCACTGCTACAGTGATTTTGGTTTCAAAAGCATTAGTGGCACAGGCTGCGAAAGTCCTGCAATTACTGCTCCTAGTCTCTCTGGGTAAGTGAAGTAACAGCTGGAGGCTTTTCATCACATGATTGCTGATAAACTGGCCTGCAGGTCAAATAAGAAATTTGAAGCTAAGCTGCCGATTGTGAGATCTATAATATTCTTGCTCCTTTGGGGCTCTAGTTTTTCCATGGCTGAGGAGGACAGTGGTGCCAAACACTACAGAAAAAGATGCACAATTCTGCTGAAAGAGAAGGCAAAGTCACAAAAAGGGCTGAGCATCATTCTGTGCTCTCTAACAATATAAAATACAAATCATCCTTCTCTAGAGAGTGTATACAAGCTGGTGCAGCTGCACAGTACAAAAGGGTCTGGGAAGGCTGCATAGAGAGGGATGTTCAAATCATTCTGTACTGGCTTTACCATCAACTCATGAGCTGATTCAGGCTGGCACAGAGAACTCTTGGAAATCCTACCTGGCCTATGTACTTACTGTGCCCTGTGAAGCCCACTCATTAAGACTCCCTGCAGGATGTTGCACAGGGAATGGCTGAAGAGGGACAGAACTGGGGAGTGGAACAGACAAAGCTTCAGGATCCATCCTTACTTCCTCTGCAAAGAGACTGTGTGTGTGGGCCCAAGAGAGCCCTTCAGCAATTAGAGTGGAGCAGCAGCTGTACTCTGGCTTGTGGGCATGCTATTAGCTCCCCCACTTCCCCCAGCAAATTTCCCATGCTTTCTGCCAAGATAATCAGGCCATGCTGAGAAGAGGTTTTGTTGCAAAATAAAATCTGCAATGGAAACTCAGCCTTTTTTTTAATACAGATCTTGGCTTTGAGAACTGTTTCCATTTAGAATGGACTTTACTTTCTGCCCTGGACCTGTGGGAAGGGCAGACCTATGCTTAAGACATTGGACTGGAAGCCAGGACTCCATGCCTGACTAAATTCTCAGTCTGTGCCCAGGTATCCTTGAGAACTCCCAGAAATAGGACTCTGTCTCATCTTCAACTTGAAAAAAGTTGTCATAGATTGGTACCAATGTCTTGCTCAAGGTCAACATTCATAAACCTTGCAAGTGCATGGATCCTGAGCTGACTAGCATGCCTCAATTTCAGGGTTGCTAAGAGTGGAGTACCTGGGGCTGCTCCTTATACATTGATCACTTCAGTTAATGATCTGTTGAGTAACAAAGGGCAAGTCAAGGGGGTAAAAATTGGTTGAAGGAAACAGTCAGATAATTTTTAATACCAAAAAAGCACTGATACCACTGCTGCTCTCTGTAGCATTTGATGGTCCAGGGGTATCTGCATTACTCTCCAATGTGTTTCCCTGAGATAGCAGCAGCCTATTACAGAGAATGTCTACCCACCCACTAGTGTAGACTTCTCATGTCCTTCACAGAAAGACCCTGGGGTTACTCCTTCCACTAAATACAAGTATTGTCATTGTTGAACTAAATGAACATGAGTAATGTTGCAGCTGGATTCTTACAGCAAGAAGTGCCCTGACAACTTATTTTTTGTCCAAGATAGATGGAACCTTACATTACAACATTCCCTTAGGTTCAGCTACTGTAATTCAGTGCTCTGCTGAGACTTTCACTTCTCTCTCGCACAGAATTTTCTAAACAAAATGTCTGTCTTTTGGCTGAACAATTCCAAGCTTAGTCTCAGTCTAGGAGTTAACCTTCTCCTAGCTTTTTTGATGAAAAGGAAAACACAGGGAAATCTTCATCCATTTTTTTTGCTATAATGAAAAAAAAAAATTCTTGCATTCTTGAGACTTTTTTCCACCAATAACTTGAAATTCTCTCTCGCACAGAATTTTCTAAACAAAATGTCTGTCTTTTGGCTGAACAATTCCAAGCTTAGTCTCAGTCTAGGAGTTAACCTTCTCCTAGCTTTTTTGATGAAAAGGAAAACACAGGGAAATCTTCATCCATTTTTTTTGCTATAATGAAAAAAAAAAATTCTTGCATTCTTGAGACTTTTTTCCACCAATAACTTGAAAAATAGCTCAATCAAAATGGCAGAGAGACATCTGGTTGGAGTAAGGAACGGGGAAAAATTAAAAAAAAAAGGACTTCCAGTTGGTTATTGGTTTTGTTCTTTTTTTTCCTTCTCCTTGAGTGAGACACAGCATAATGCATTAAGAAAGATTCTTTAGTTCTTTTTCTTTTATAGCTACTTCCCATCTCTGTTGTTGCTAGCTGCTGTCTCATTAACCCTGCAATACAGGAAGTGTCTCCAGCCAAAAGCAGCAGCAAAAGGTGTGAATTCACTTCCTCCTTCCCCCATTTACCTAAATTTCAATTAGATACTTTATGACCCATGCAGGGGGGTGGGGCAGCCTGAGATTATCAATCCTGATTTTCCTTTTGTTTTTATACTTGCATGTAAATTACCTTTCTTTTATTATTCTATGCACTCATTTTCTATTATGTTGTTTATTACTTTAAAAGCTCCAGGAGAGGTTTTGATTGCCACTTAATGTGCCAAATCACCTCCTACAGACTGATTTCATGTTCAGGACTTCACTATTCTTAGCATCATTGTTCTTAATGACTGTTTAATAAGTCATATGGCAGTCTAATTATGTGTCTATCCCTTTGCTATATATAGTTACCAAACACCAGTGTCTTAGGCTCTGCAGCATTTTCTCTTCTAAGAACAGGAAAACATAAAGGTTACAGCTAGTACCGGTTGATGGCATCCTTATACTCTGTGGGCCAAATTGTAGAGTCCTTGTTTCTCACTCCTTGTTGGGTTAGGACTCATTGAAGTCTGCCTTTTAATCACATTCCTATAACAGCCAGCCACTTTCTTCACTCACACTGAGCAGCTTATTTTTGGCCCAGTACTTTAAGAAAATGTAAAACAAAGCACACCACATGCTGATACCATTAACTAAACAAATTATTTTTTGACTCAAGGGGAGTTTTATGGAAGTAAGAGCTGTAGAAGGATTTGGTCCCTAGTCACTAAATGTTGATCCACTAGGACACCTCAGTTTCAACAACTGCATGAATAAAACTTTTTGATGCCTTGCCTGAGAACTGAATTCACAATATGCCATTTAGGCATCGGAGCTCCCTACCTAGGGCTCAAGGAAAATTAGGTGCCTACCAGTGAAATTCACAGGGCAGAAAGGCCTAAGCACTGTGGACATCATTCCACCAGTCAGCATCCACAGCCCTGAGCATCTGGAGTTTGGCATCGCAGCCCTTCCTTTCTGAAGGCTGGGACTGGATGTGTCAGGTCAGGGATTGGCAAAAGTAGAAAGGAAGAAGAAAAAATTACAACCTATTTTATTTCATACCAAACTGAAGAAATATCTGCATAGCGTCTGTAAAGTCTTTAATTAAAGCAGTTTTTGAATTAAAACAGTTCACAGAAGACCATAGATTCATAGATTCATAGATGTTAGGGTCGGAAGGGACCTCTATAGATCATCGAGTCCGACCCCCTGCATAGGCAGGAAAGAGTGCT